AGAGGGGAAAAAGTCATCTGCTAGTCTAATTTTGGAAACCGCCCCTCCCTGCCCAACACGCACACACAGGCTTGCCCAAAAGCACACGTCTCATAGTAATGCCTGCCAGCTTAACCAGGTCTACTAAAATAGCTTCTCAGCATCCTCTTTTGCTGCTGACCCAAGGTTGCTGGGCAGCTCTGCCCAACAAGTCCCTAACATCTGGGTGGAGAAAGCATCCCACCTCCGTGCAAACGGAAGAGAACAAGGAGTGACTTTCTAAAGCCATGAATGTCCTTCCATTGCAGGTATTCCAAAGCCTAAAGCCATGAACGTCCTTCCATTGCAGGTATTCCAAAGCCTACAATACAAAATAAACCCCCCGGACTCCAGCTCTCTACAAGACTGTCAGAGCATGGCACCAGGCCACCCGCTCTTCTGTAGGGCTGCAGCCTCCCTCCACACCCATCACATAGTCTTCTCTTCAGAGACCTTTTATCAATTCTGAGGTGAGTTTTTGTAAATTTAGATGATCTTTCGTAGCTTCTTCTTTCAAAAGGGCTCTTTGAAAAACTCCTCATGAGGTTGCACCTCATGGAAAGATGGCACACGTGGACCGAATCCTTAAGATACAGGCCCGCTGTAGTCATGCAAACCACCAATAAGTTGCACCTTCGCTAGAATAACATCGCACATGTGGGTTTGGTCTGACACGCGGGTGTACAGGGGCTGCCTAATAGAGAGGCAGCATTGGAAAATACCACAGTGAGGTCCACGTGAGAGCAGACTATGAAGCTGGGGTAAAAGCAGCTTGATTTCAGGCTGCATTGCCCCTTCGAGTCCACAAACCCTGCCTGCCAACAGCTTGGGCAGAAGTGTTACCACGCATTGAAATACCGTAGAGCCAATCGCAGACATATTTTAACCAACTGTGACTTGGAGATGTGGCTACTCTGCCCTGCAATCACTCAGCATCCTCCTCGAGTCTTTGTTCTATATCTGGCACAGTTAAAAGATGATGACTTTTAAGCAATGCCACACAAGGAAAGAGTTTCCTCTTAGCGCGAGGCACACGAGGGATCGATAAAAGATGCAAGGGTTTTGATCTCTAGTTTACCAGCTAGAATTAATGAAAAAAAATATTTTTTGATCTCTGGGTTTTTTTGATCTCTACTTTATGTTTGTTTCATTTTTACAGGTTTTTTTTTTTTGATCTCTAGTTCACCAGTTAGAATGAACAGAATTCAACTAGAAAAAGAAATTGTGATAGCGCACATGACATGCTGCTATCCTACCTGAACTGACACAGCTGCTCAGAGCCTTACAGACAGTCCTGCTGTGTGAAGACTTTGAGATGTTGAGAGCTCACAAGGTACACACACACTTCAGAGGAGAAACTCTAACATATACTCAAATGAGTATATTTAAACAATTTATTCACTTATTGTCTTCTTTCTTGACCTAACTCTCTGCAGATCCAATTTTTATATTTAGTCCAAGTGAGATCTAGGAACATCATAGCCTATGCTTTGCATTTGCACCCTGTAGCAAGCTGATAACTTGCAGGTATAGCTGGGATAGAGGATCTCCGGTAGGCTATAGTGAAAACAAAAAACCCTTAAAAAAAACCTAAGTGGTGGCTGGAGCAGAAAATATGTTCAAATCTAGACTAAAAGATGGGTAAAAAATGTGTGTCCCACAACTGTTTAATCAAGAATTTTATTTTTTTTTTTCCTAGAATGAATCCCTGCTTTCCCTCAGCCACTGCTTAAAATTGACTCTGGTAAGCCTGAAATGCAGGGTGTGTTTTCTGCTTCTCTAGCAGCGCAAATCTAAATAAAGCTACATTTGCAGGCAAAAGTTTTGTGCATTTGCAAGACAGTTAAGTCTTGAGTTTGGAGCCCAAATTTGGCCTGGGGGTGCTCTGTGGCTTCTCACAAATATGTTCCAGTTGGCAGGAGGTCTGCCTCAGCACAGGAGATGGTGGTGTGGTCCAACAGGCGGGAGAGAGACCTGGCAGCGCGCAAAGGGGAGATGGGTGGGGGGATGTGGGCAACAACTGCAGGCAGGGAAAGTCAAGTATTATCGATAGATGCTCGGAGGGGGTTACCTTGACTACTCTCTGTCTCCATGGTCTGACCGGTTGGATCCTGCGAGCTCCCGTTCCCCACGATAGGTTTTGGGGGTTGCACACCGGTGGCAGAGGCTGCGTGAGCCAGCTGGGGAAAGGGTCCAGGGAGGTGCGGTGGGGGTGGCTGGCGAGGGTGGTAAGGCACACCCGGCGGGCACACGCGGGAGGAGAGCTGCTGCATGGCGATCATCTCTGGGCTGTCCATCATGGAGTCTCCACCTTGGCACCCTCTTTGAACCTGAGGCGGTCCCCCGAACAAAGCAGCCGGCGGCTGCGGCATCCTCTGTCCAGTGTCTTTCCCGGGAGGTCTGATATACCCTGAGGGAGGCATCCCGTGAGGTAGGAAATTTGATTGCTCAGTCCACTGGCTGGGAGGCAGCGGTGGCCTCATGGTCCGGGGGTCCACCACATGACCCAGGGCACGGGGCTGGAGAGAGGATGCTGGCCCCATGGGCACTTTCTCCTCCGGCCCCACTGCACCCTGGCTGGGGGGACCGTGGCTGCCGTTCCACAGGGCTGGGTGTGTGCGGTTCAGGTACTTGTAGGGTCGGTACATGTGCCCCGGGGGTACCTCTGAGCCCTCCGGTGGCCTCACCGGGGGCCCATTGTGCCTTGGTGGAAGGAAGCCCTGCTGGAACTGAGCTGGCGGGTAGATGGCATCGGGTGGGGGGCCGCTCACTCGTCCCAGCTGCAAGGTGCCTGGCCGGGGGCCAAGGCCAGTGACATGGGTCGGTCCAGCACATGCCTGCTTCTCCGGGCCGGCCAGCCTGTGCCCACGATGCTCGCTCAGTCCCATGGCAGGCTTGGGGGGGGGGACAGGGTAGGTCTCAGTGAGAGACATCACAGCAAGGAGCGAAGAGGATCTGTGGGTCCCAGGGTGCTGGATCCCTTGGCTGCAGCTTTTCTTACCTGCATAGCAAAGTGCTGATGCTGCTGGACTGGGTCTCCTGGATGGGGCTCAGGCACTCGTGGCGAGCCGTAAAGTTTTGTGGGATCTGACCCACGCAGGGGACCAAACGTTCCCGGCACGGCTGGTCTCTGGAGGATGAAGAGGGGTGTGAGAGGGAGAAATAAAACAATATGTGAAGCTCAGAAAAGCAGTAATGCTGCTGCAGGCAGGAGCAAGGCACGGCCAGAGGAACTGCACAGATGAGCAGACAAGCTTTTTGGAGATTCCACAAAAAGCCTGTAGTCTCTTTCCTCTGAGGGGACACAACTTCCCTGACAAAGCCACTCCCACACTCCAGCCACATATTCCTCTGCTCAAGGTCATGATACACTCACTTGCCACCCAACTACTTGGGAGTGAGCAAGAAGACTCGAGGGGGCAGTGGTTCATTCCAAGGAGAGGAGTGGACCACAAGAGTATGCCGGCAGAAGGATGGGGGAAGGTGTTGGATTTCCTTCAAAATACTTCTTGCCTCCAGCTCTCCGACTATCTGCATCACAAGAATCACTCCAAAATTTTTGTTTGATCTCTAGATAAAAGGGCAAGGGGTAGCTTGGACCTCAGAAGAGCAGCTGATAGACAACACCACAAAACATCACTGGTTAAACTGAAAAAAACCAGTGAATGATGGGTGAGCCCAAAGAGGATACAGGACAGGTGGCATCCAGAGAAGAAATGCTGGGCTAAAGAGAGGCTGCTGCTGCAGTTCAGGATAGCCTTGTGTTTGATTTTGTTTACTGCTTTTATAAATACTCAAGGCATGAAATGCAGTAGTACACAGATGGCATGAAGTTACCAGGCATCTGTAAACAATTGAGACAAAAGAAGGCCGGCTTGCTCCGCACCATAAACTGGAGGTTGAGAGGAAATGTGACTGCTTTCCATGCACAATGGAGTAACTCTCCAAGGGCAGAAGAGAACTGGGTGAGTCAGTGCTGGCGCAAGCCCACATGGGGATGTCAACCATGGGAAATGTTAGGAGACTGTTCCTCACTAGTGTTGGCAAAGAATGAAACCGTACCAGTTTAGATCTACGGGCTGATAATTTTCAGTTGTAGAAACCATAGCCCTGACCCTTAACCTCTGGGAAAAGGTTCTTACCACACAGTAGGAATTTCACAGTAGAGAGCTTCGCTACCCTTTGCCTCCCTCCCTTTGCAGGCCCGATGGGTTAAGGACAGCAGAAACAACTTCTCCTTACCATCTGGCCAGGATGTGGCACAGGGCTGGGCATGCCGCCATACTGCAGAGAGCGAGGGAAACCTCGCCCATTGGAAGAGCTCGCTTCTCGAGGAGGCTGCATTGGGTTGCCACTTGGATCCTCTGCGGAGGACGAGGAGAAGGAGGAAGAGGAAGAGGAGGAAGAAGCAGGAGCCCTGGAAGTAGCTCGATATGGTGGGGGTTTTCCTCCATTTTCCAGGCGTTGCTGCCTCTTGCCTGGTCCATCAGTGTCTCGTGACCGAGTCCAAACGCTGCCTGTGCTGGAGCGGCCAGTCCGTCGGCTCCTCTTCTCTCGTCTCCCATCTTCTCTGATCCAAAACTCCTCATCTGTGTCTCCATCTTCCCCAGGGAAGTGCTTCATCATTGCTCGGTGGAAACACCTCTCTAAGTTGTAAGCCATCTTGGTATATTCTGCAGTCAAAAAATACCCCAACAACATCAGAGGCAGAGCCTTATAGAGAGAGATAATTAAGTAACATCAGACTTTCCCCATCAGACAGATTGTTTCCCCTCAACAAAGTTTCTCTGAGGAAGACTTTTGTTTCAAACTAGTTGACTAATGCAGCATCAGATTCGTTCAGTAACCCCAGCAGAGGACAGGCACACAGGCATGACAAAGTACCACTAGCAGCACAGCCTGCAGAGTCAGCATTAACTCAGTGTTCCAGCATAGTGCCAAGAACTACATTACGAGAAGCAGCACCTCTGCTCGCAGAGATGCATGACCTGCGAAGCCAGCCAGCAGAGTGCCGAGAGAAGAAATGTGAACTTCCAGCAATGCTATTTGATTACGTTCAGAGACTTTCCTTGGACTCGTTCAAATCTCTGCTGTATGCTCCAAGAACAGAGGAAAATCAGCAAATGCATTTATCCATGTACAGTTTCTAAAGCACTTGCTGACCCTGATGTGAAAGCTATTGCCAACATCAGTGTCCCCATTGCGTCATTTCTACAGGACAGTTCTGCTCAGAGGGGCTCCTACTTTTCACTGGAGTGGATAGGAAGGAAAAGACATGTGAGAGGTGTTAAAGACAAGGGTTTAAAGCAAATGACTTTCCAGTTGTTTCCACTAAGCTAACCCTGAAATTCCTTGGGAAACAGAGCTCTCCCCCTGGCAATGCAGGAATTACTTGGGGCCCACAGTGACAAGACTGGGTAGCTGCTCTGTTTTCCCTTTCAAGGCGGTGCTGGTGAGGCAGTCTGCAGTGATGACCCACCATATGGGAACTGATTTCTTACCTAAGCAACATGTAGAATTTTAATTGGTATGGCAGACTCATGTTGTTCATTCAGTAGCCAAGACATGTAAAAACTACATTTTTCATCTAAAGACCTACAAGTCTGGTTCATTCCTCATTCCTCTCTTTTCTGTGGTACTCAACAAACAGTGGAAGCTGACTAGACTCTAATGCTTTTCAAAGCCTGTGCTAAATATCATGAGAAAAAGAAAAAGGGGGCACACAGACACACAAACACAGGAATGAGCTCAGAAAGAAACAGGATTTCCTCTCTTTATATGTTCTGTCTTCGCCATCTACCAACACGGGAGTCCTTTTGTATGTCATGCCTCCAATACAGCATGACCAAATTGTGCTAAAAGCCTCCCTAAAATACCAAGACTTATTACTCAGATGCTCCTACTGTTTTGCCTGGCCTCCCAAAAATACCCTGAAAGAGAATAAGCACAAACCAAGTACTGGTGAGTAGGAAGATATATCACTGCTTTCTTTTACTGAGCACTGCAAATAGATGAACTTAGCATCTTATTGCTCTTACCACTGCCTTCACCATTGTACTTAAGACAGTTCCTGAACATGGTCTTCATATCGCCCACAAATTCTTCCTTGGTGCAGTACTGACCTCCATTCAACTTCTTCTCCATGCTAGAGATGTCCATGGGGGCCTGAAATGCAATAAAATCTCCCTTCACTTACAGCAAGCATAGTGGGGATTAAAAAGTTGCATAGCTACCCTCCTCACAGAGTGGGGATGGGGAGCGGAGGCTGCTCTCCTGAGAGGCAGCCTCTTGGTCTTTGGTATCCTTGACTTGTAAAGCTAGAAGGGACTACTGGAGTCACACAGTTTGACTGCCAGAGTAACACAATCCACAGAATCTCAAAAAACTTCCAAGAAAATGCACCCCAGTCAAGAAAGTGCATCAGCCAAGATGGTTGGACCACTTTCCATACCTTAATGATCTGGTAGTAGTTGGGAGCATACGATTCATCTACGGGTTCCAAGAAGGGCCAAGAGTCTTTGTGAGCCTTCACGACATCTAGAACTGGCAACAGCAAAAGAAAGGTGCACAGTTACACAACACCTCCAGGGGAGAATTTCACTCTGAACAAGTCATGCAGAGCGGAAAGCTGGGGCAGGACTCACCTTTGTACATGGCTGTGACCTCATCGTCCAGTTCGAAGCTGTAATGGGAAGCAAAACAGTGAATATGCAGATTGAGGACATATAAGACATGCTTTCATACTTCATCTTCCCTTCCACTCCATGTACGGTGCCATAATGCTGACAAATAGGCCTCATCACAAACACTCCTCTACTGTGGAGCAAATCCAGATGTTTCTCAGCTTACTCATCACTGTTCTCCAGCCTCACTTCTCCCTCCTCATTCCTGTGAACGATCAGTCTACTTCCTTCCTGCACTCGCTACCTCAACGCACTCGCACGCTGCATGCCCAGCTGCATACTCACAGATCCTTGGTCCTTCGCTCTTCCCTGGTAGGGGAACTGGGATCCAAGTGGGAAAGCTCAGGAGGGAGCTCCTTCCCCTGTGCCAGAAGCCAGGCCCGCTCTTCACGAAGCTTCCTTCTCCTGGCCCGTTCTGCAGTGAGAGAGAGGAGAGGTGAAAAACCACTTAGTGCTCCTAGTCAATAACATCTGGCAGGGAAAACGAAGGCAGTTCCTGCATCTTAAGGACTCTAGTGAAACATCTAGTGAAATGCTGCAAAAGCAGCGACAGCACAAGGGCAGAGAAGGTGAGAATACAGAGAACCATCAACATGACTCTTCACTTTCCATTGACTTTACAATCATTGATTTTGAAGCATTTCTTTGATACAGATGCTGCCCTAGGCAGCTTCCAGACAAATTCCTGACCATGGTGTGGTACAAAGAGAGAAGCTCAATGCACAGACCTAGGCATACATCACCACTAAGGAAAGAGCTGGTTTGCTAAGTTATCATGCTTCAAGATGTGTTGCCTGGTCTACTTGAGAGGTGGCATCCCTGCCCATGACAGGGAGGTTGGATTAAATGATCTCTAAGGTCCCTTCCAGCCTAGGTCATTCTATGATTCTAAGATGCTTCAGGTGAACTGCAGCAGGTGATCTCAAGGCACTCCAGTTTGCACCGAAGCAGATGAAGACAAGTACTGAGAGAAGGGTGAAGTTCTACCAGCTGGGTGGCAATGAGTAACCAGGGTCATCAGTATCCTCCACCACCATGGTTAGCTTTGGGAAGACTGCTCAGGTAGGCCTTCCCAGTCAGCAGCCAGAGCAAGCAAGCTGCCACACAGGAGGGCCACTGGGATAGCTTTGGTTTAAGAGGTGAGAGACAGGAAGAAGCAACGCTGGTAATATAACCTGTGGTTTGCAACCAGACAGCTGGCTAACAGATTGCTTCATATTAGAAAGTTTATGGGCTCTTACGAATCTCATTTCCTTTTTCTTAAAGGAAATCTGAATACATCTGACTTGTTAAACACCTGCGGTTGTACCAGCTTTCTGTAAGAGCGGAATTCTGTGAAAGTAATGTTCAGAGAGAGATGTCATAGGACTAAGACCCCAGAAAAAAGGCCACATCGAGGAACATCCAGAGTGAAAGAAAGATGGGAGAGACTTGGTTAATATCCTCGAGCAGAGGCTCCATCTTTGGAAAATGCCAAAGATTGAAGAAGTACCAGCTCTGGTGAAAGGGTATTAATTTACTGTCTTACTCTGTCAGTCAAAATCAAATTTGGGATGGGGATTCAGAACACAAGAAAACTAGGAATAGCTACAATTTGGGTATTTCCAGGGAGGTCCAAGGCCAGATATGTCAGACTGGTAAAAGAAAGTCCAAATTTCCCCTTAGAAGACTCTGGGTAGCACCAAAGTTGGGAGGACAGCACTAGCATCTAAGATGTCCTACAGAATCTAGCAGCACCTATTATAACTTTTAGCGATGAGAAGTCCAAAATCAAATTGCTGTTAGCAGAGATTATGTGAGTCTGTCCAAGCACAGGTCACTACTTCGTGCCTCTTTCATAAAATGAGCATCACTTAGATGACATTATAATGGATGCCTATGTGAGAAGGATGAGAAAAACGCAAGGTGATTATTTGGGCATCAAAAGGAAAATCTCATGGCAACAGCAGCCAAGAGGTAAGGTGATGTATGTTTTAGAAATCCATCAAGGCTTGCCAAGGATCTAACCTGTTAAACTGACAAGAATTGAGGAACGCTATTCTGGTACCAGACTGGAGCTCAGTCAGGATTAATGGCAGGATCCTCTACTGCAGCAAGTGATTAGCAGAGCATGTTAAAGATCACTGGCAGAGCTTGTTGTCTTGCCATTGGCCTGGGTTGAGTCCTACCCAGTAGCTTTCAAAATCTAACTAACGCCCTAAAAAGTAGCTCAAACACCTACAAAGTCAGATATGCGAGAAATAATGCCGAGGCAGCAACTGGGAAGAGAACTGGGAAACTCTAACCCGATGTTGTGGTAGAAATCTCGAAAGCTACTGTAACTCACAAATTCAGGCAAGTACAGATGAGCCCAGTGAAGGCTCACTACCTGAGGCATGTGTTGGAGTGGGGAGAAAAGTGAAATCCCAGAGTGGAAACAGGAACGTGGTGATCTAAAAATAGGCATACGGTCCAAAACCGAGAAGCAGGTGACGTGCTGATGAGACTGATCAAAAAGCAGATATTTTACCCTATGTTTCACATCATCCCTCTAGAGAAGACCTTACAAAACTAACATTAAATCCCAAACAGACCACAAAACACAAGAAAATCTTTGTTACCCTAAAATCTCTGTCAATGGATGTCCAGTTTAACGTAATCTGAACCAAGCAAAACAAATTACTTCATTTTCAAATCACTTTCTGTCCATATTAAGAACTGTCATGAAAGTAAATGCCCTAACGGAGAGTGTGCTTGGCAATAAGGAAAGATGGTTAAGAAGCCAAAGTTTTACCTGGATAGCTGCTGTTTCTAGGGATGAAAAATACTGCAGTGATTTAACTGAACAAATAAGCCATTTAAGTAAACTTTCCAAGCAGCTTTTGCACAAACTTAAAAGGAGACTTCTCCTGACTTAGCCTAAACTGACTAGAGACAAGTTTAAACTAAACTAAAAGCACAAGCCAAAATCAAAGCATCTCTGCCAAGAAAAGCATGAATGTATGCTAAATTGGCTTAAAACCATTTCTTGCCCGAGCCCATGCCAACTTCTTTGAGTGGTTCTGGTGCCTTTGTACCAGATGATGCAGTGATTGCATTTACTCAAAAAAGGACAAGGCTTATACCAAAACAAGACCTTTTTACAGGTAAATTTATCTTTGCAGTTCTTATGGAAATTCAAAATTAATTCTTTCGACACAAATGGAGAATTAAAGCAGAGAGAATATACAATTTGCCAAGGTGAAACAAATATCTGTGGCAGTTATGGAAGCTCAGTTTAAAGCACTGGATTAGCTAGGACTAGTAACCAGAAATATATGAAGGCCAAGCAAGTAATTGGATTTTCTAAAGATTAGAAAGGTAAGCAGGTAAAAGAAACTATTTTTAGATAACATCTGGTCTGATACCAAACATCTGGTAGCAGACTGTTTAATCTTGGAAAGTTTACAAGGGTTGCATGAACTTAATCTTTTTTCTTTCTCTGATTCTTTATCCACTTAAGGGTTCATGATACTGGTACCACCAGACATTACCAACACAGTTCTCCAAATATTTTCAGCCTTTCCCTGGAACTGTGACGGCCCAGACAGCCACTGTGGCAAAAGCAGCAGACAAAGTAATCCCCATAAAGTAGGCTGACAGAGAGAGGGTGGTCAGAAATGAGCCTGCTCTTAGACACCAGTACCTACATGTACTGGCTAATCATCTGCTGTTTGTGCCTCAATCTGATGTATTAAACACAACATGGCTGTTTATCACAGAACAGCTTAAATCAGCATTTAATTCAAAACCACGAGAAAACAAGACCAACACCTGAGGTTATCACCTCAAGTGCTCTCCTTAGCTTGATTCCCTCATATTTAGTTCTCCAACTGATCAGGCCAGTAGCAATATAAAATCAGTGCTCTTGCTAGTCCTGTGTTGTCCCCTTCCTTTTCTCCTCAAAAGGAATCCTTCTTTGATCATGCATTGGGCCCAAAGGACCAAATGCTATTCAGCAAGAGCAAAGCCAGCTAATCCTGCACACTGGGAAATCCAAGAGGAGGCAAGTGGGGAGACAGAAGACAAGTGAGGAAGAACACAAATAGCAGGGGAAAAAAAAGTACAGCAGGGGCAAGGGAGAAAACAAGTATAATTTGAAGAAGAAGACACCACAGCTGAAGGGTGAGCTGGAGAACAACTACCAGCACCAACGGAGGCATAGGAAGAGAAGCTACAGTCAGACCAATTTATCTGAGGTTAAGTGGAAGAAAACATATTCCCATTAGCATGTCTGGCAGGGAAGGAATGTAAATGGTAGCCCTTAATTCAAGATCTCAGTTTCAGCTTTGAAAGCTTCCACCTCTACTTTGCACTGGCTGCACGTACCTTCCACTGCTTTGACCTTCTCCTCCATTTCTCTCTTCCTCTCCTCCTTCAGCAGCTGCTCCTGCTCCCTCTTCTGCACTGCTATAAGGATTTGGCGCTCCTCCTCTTCCTCTCTACGCCTCTGCTTCTCCATTGAACTCAGCACGTTTGGGTTTACCTGTGACAAAATGGCGCACCAAAAACTGTAACGCACTGACTTACAGAAGTCTGAGCAGAGGCTGGCTTACTTGTGTAAGTATTAAAGCATACCTACAATGAATGGCTGGGGGGGAAAAATGAAAAGGAAAGAAAAAGATCTGTACATATGAATTCTTGGATGAAAAGCAACATGAAAAGGTAAGTTATTTGTCAAGCAATGAAATCCTACTGCGACAGGGACAGAGGAAGGAGAAGCAATGGCTCAGACAAGCTGCCACTCCACCAGGGACGCACTGCATGTATTTCCCTTCTGGGCAAAGGATTTGGGCTGCTGACACCCCCACGCAACACCTCTATACCTCTACCCCTTCCGGCCAGCAGAGGCCCAGAGTTGTGAGCATGAGTAGAAAGGACTACTCTGCTGAACATGTCTCTGCTAGAAAACACAGAGTACTTAGGATAGACGAGGAGACTGGTACAGCCTTGCAGCACGGTGCCGTTTGGAGTGTTGTTCTTTCCTGTTCAAAATAAGGCCTGCCACACTTCTGTATGCCAGTTTCTCCTGGACTTGCTCTCAGTTGTTTATCTGGACAGTTTTCCTGCTGGGTCTTCCGACCAGTCTTCTTATTCAACGCCACCAGGCTCTTTATTGCCCTACTTCCTCATCTCCCCACTGCCAACAGATTGCAAGGCTGTGTATGATCCCACTTAGATTGCAGGATTCCCAGACCAGGGATCTCCTGCTCCTATTTCTCCAATAAAGTATGAGGTATGCACATGGCAGTGTGGAATTACCTTTATTAGCTTAATTTAATTATAAGGCAAATTAATTGGTCATCCACCAGCCACTTCCACGTCTTTGACTTCTGCAAAACCAAGATATGCGTGCCTTATCAGCAGGGAATATCAACTGGAAAAGAACAATGTGCATATAGCTTTCTCCACCTTCATTTTCAGGGAATAACCAGCAACCACCACTTAGGAAGAAGGCATTTCCTGAGGATTAGTGATCAGCTGGGGTCCCTTGGCTACTGCTCAGTCCATCAACTCTCTAGGCCTGTTATTAATCCCCAGAAAAAGAATCTGGCACCACAGTTACTATTTTGTCCTTGTTTCATTGCCTAGAAGTGGAACCTCAGGCTGTTTGGATAAACACCTAGAAATTTGTCTGGTTTCACGTACAGTAATTCCCTCTCTGCCTCCACTACCTCTACACAGCATTGCCCTACAGTCTCCCCTTGCAGCTCTCCATGGACAAGCATCATTTATTATCTCCCTGGCTCCAGGAGCAACAACATATTAAGAGAATTATGCTACAACTACCAACAGCTACGGAGAAGTGTCCAAGAGAGGCTAGTGGGACTCTTGACAACACTAGAACCACAGTTTGCATTTAGGGACAGACTGGGCAGCAAAAACACCTATACTGTGCTAATCTTTTGAGGCAAAATCTACAGCATGATCTCACCACAAGGAAACTGCCTATCTTACTTTCCTTTTCAGATCTTTGCCAAATATTAGTACTTCATTCTTCCATCCCTTTCCTACGACAACCTTTTCTTGAGTCTACAAGCTTTTAGGTGAGCCAGCTTCTCCTCACATTCAGTTTGAAGTTAATTTCCCATTCCCTCATTCCATCCAATTATTCCAGGTTACGCTCTTCTAGGCGAACATAAATTCTCCTCTTCTTCAGCCACATTGCAGCCTTGTGTCCTCAGACACTTAGACAAAACTCTTCCATTTCTGTAATTAGGTTAAATGTTTCCTTATAAAGCAATACTTCCAGATCCTTAATCATTCCAGTTGTGTCTCTCAGACCTTTCCTTCAACTGATCCAATACCCAAACATCAGGATGCCCAGCACTGAAACTGCTACGCCAAGTACGAGAGGTCAAGAACCTACAGAATTGGGTTCTGTGCTTCCACTTTTGACTCTTTCCATATCCTTTTCTCAGCTGCTCTACCATTTGATTTTCTGCTCATGCACTGAAAAATCACTTCCTTTCAGGTCTAATTCTGATTACCATCAAACAACTTTCCTCTAACTTTCTTGATCAATCTTTAAATTGCAGGAGGAACCAAAGAAGTCAGGTTCTGCAGCAATTTGAAGAGAAAGAGATGAGCAGGAACCAACCACCAGAATTTGGTACACCATGATATTTTATTAAGAATATGACCATCAGCCCTATGATTCTTCAGCCAATAGACCTAAGCCAGCCTGGCATGTCACACTGATTTCTTCAGGTGTTGGTGCACAGGCCAGATCTTCCCTTTCCCTGGATTCATACAGCTTCCACCATTCATGTCTTACGGAAACATGAACACAACATCCAGGCTGCAGTGCTCACACCAGGACCTCTCCAAAACCACACGGTGCATTCAGCACCCTATAGTGTAACGGCGTGACACAAAATCCATGGCATGTTTCAGATCAACCCACTGCAAATATGGCACCAACAAAGCAACAGGATAATATTAAGCAAATGACACCATATCATCCTAGCAGATCTAGGAAGAGAAGAAATGGGAAAAGCAGAAACCAGAAATGCAGCATAGCGAGCACCAAGGACTACAGCAGATGTCCACAACCGCACTTGCTCCCTCGCAGCGCTTGCAGGGCAGCAGAAACGCTGTCTCTTTGAGACACTTCAGACACAGAAATACTCTGATTTTCAGAGGGACCTACTGCCTGTTATCCCACTTAAGCTCATTGGAGATGAGTGTGCTCAACTATCGGAATGATATAAACAAAGACCCAACACCACTTAAACTTCCTTCCAGACCAAAGAGGTGGCAAAGGGATGTTCCCCCCAGCTTCCTCCCCACATCTGCGACCACAGCATCACCACCTCCTTCCCTCCGCCAGAGAGCACTCCAGGACACATCATCGCTGACATTTCCCCCCTCCCAGGGACCCCTGAAAGGGCCAAGCTTCTGCCTTTTGCTTTGCTCTCCAGACAGTGGGTATCAGACTTCAGGGGCAGAAGGCCAGGAGGCGCGAGTGCCCTGGGCGCCCTGGCCCCCTCCAGGCACACGCCCCAACCCCACATCCTCCAAACCTTCCCTGCTCCAGTTTCCCCAGCCTGGCCCTAATGAGGGTGCTGCTCAGGCAGCTCTTTAATGAGGAGCTAATCTGAACCACCTGTTGAGAAATCCCCCGCAGGATTAGGAGCCGACGGAGTAGTTATATCTTGGACCGAAGAGGCATCCAACTCGCGGAGTCGGGAGGAAGTGGTCACCCCCGTGCCGAGCTGAGGTTTTTCTCCCCCAGAATTGCCTGCTGACCACCCCCTTGCTCGGCAAACAAGCTATCAGACATGCTGGCATCTTCCTTGGTTCCCCATGTCCTGCTGGGGAGCGGGCAAGAGTGTCGCCACACTCTCACTGCCTGGCTCCCCACGCCCTGGGTGCTGGGAGGGCCCCAGCTCACTGGAAACGTTTCGCTGGCCCACAGGCAGCAATTAACAGCCCTCTGCCGCCGCAGACCTGGAGCACCTGCGGTACTGATTAGCATCATTCAGGCTCCATGTGTTTCCCACTCCCCTTCTCCTCTGGGATTTCTGCTGCCTGTGAACAAACACATGCCTCTGTGCTTCCTGCACGGTGGGCTTTGCAGAGAGCGTTTTTGGCCCCAAACTGACCATTGCTGGGGTCTTATTTTCCTCCCGGCAGGCTTTCATCTGCAGCATAACGCAAAGTTCTTCCTTCCTTTTATTTATCTATTCCAAGTAAACATATTTATTACAGGGAACTGTACTTTCTCCTTTGTTTTGCAGAAACCCTTGACCCTGGCTCATGTGGAATATACCCTGCAGTTTAGTTTCCCAGGGTTTGACAAACCACTAGGTAACTATGTTTTCATTACATCTACAGGGAGAGATTATACTGTGGCCTGATAGAATCAAGCCAGTTTTTTCCTCCAAAGTCAATCCTGTTTTGCCTGACCGATTGCTTTGGGTATCATTTGCCAGTCCAAAGACCCCCCTATCTCTGCTGTACCATGCCCCTGGCCGTGCCAGTGTGACTGTTGGGGGCTGCACGGTGAACTGGATCGGAAAGCTGGTCTACGTTAAAAATAACCCCAACCAAAGAAAAAGGTTATATTTAACTCCAGTCATTCTCCTGGGTCTGGTTCACTGCACAGACCCGCAAGCAGTTACATTGATGGAGTGGAGATGAGAGTGAAAAGGCACAGAAAGAGCCATTTCTGCCAATGAGCTGCAGTTCGATAAGCATTTCTTTAAGCAGCCTAAACTGCGACTTCCATTTCCAGCTGACCCCCTTCTAGCTCAGCTCTGTACCGCATCAGTCATTCTTCTTTCCCTCTGCACTATCTACACCCTCATGTGTTTGCAGCCTCACGTTTTCCCCTTGGCTGAATTTCTGTCATTTCCCTTTGTAAGCTGGTTCTTCTAGCCCTCTCATCCTTCTTCAACTTTTCTTTGAACTGCCTCGAATGTGCCAGCACTTTCATTGAAGTGGAATTCCCCAGACTGAGCGCAGATTTCCATATGCAGCTGCACCCGAGACCGGCTACCTCTGCGATCCAGAGGGCAGCACCTCCCTGCTCGCCATAGAAACCCCGAGTGTCAGCCTGCCTTTGACAGGCATTACCACCCATCTCTCTTTCAGCACAAGCACTTTCAAACTACTCCTTCCCACTGAATAGCGATGCTGCGGTTTACTTTTTTCCCCCAGGAGGCATCTGCTCTCGCCTCCCTCCGTTGGCCTCCCCCTCGCACCCCCCCTCACCTCCTGCTTGATTGGTTTGATGGGCTGATGGTCAGACATCCACCTGGGAGAAAACTCTGTCCGCTGCAGACGCTTCTCCTGAAACAGGGTTGAGAATTGAGGGAAGGAAAAAGAGAGTGGAGGAAATTAGGGCACATTGGTGATACTGGCAGGAGAAACTCTGGGGGCTAGAAGTGACCACGAAATCCCTATTAGCTTTACAAGGGTAGCAAACAAGCAAACTGAACTCAGTCCAAGAACATCAGGCTCACTGCAGAGCCCATTTTACAAAGCCATCTAGCTGAAGGATCCTGTTCCAAATGCGTCGCACCTGAAAACATTCAGTTGACAGACAACACCCTTTGGAGTTTCAGGGCTCTGAAGTAGCTCAAGTAGCCTTTGCTAGGACAGCTAAGCAGCCACTACCCCTTCAGCAGAGCCAGCTGAGAAACAGCAGTAAAAGTGGAATCACAGGCAGTTTGCATAGAAAAGCTAGGCTGTAAATCGCAGGAGTTCAAAAGCAGACAGAGATTCCCTGCTAGCAGAAAAGGGACAGAGAACTTGGCTGAAGACAGTAACCCCTTCAGCCATCCTACCCACGCTGCTGTGCAATCATGAACCAGATCCTTAAGCATCGACTCTAGTCCTGTCACTCCATTAAACAGCCCCCTCATCCACGCCCCTTGCAGGCAGGAGGTGAAGGGGAGCACCACAGGGCGACAGGCTGCTTGGATTCAGCTCTCCTTCCATCGGCAAACGTCCATGCTCTTGGAAATGGTCAAAGAGAGGTAAACAGGATGTCATGTCTCCTCACCTTCTGTGCAATCATGTTGCAGATCTCCGGCAGGAAGTCTTCACTCAAGAGTTTGTAGAGCTGTCTCTCTCTAAGGGAAGTCCTCTCTCTGAAGCTCTCTGTGACCTGCCTCCACTCCTCTTCCGTCTGACACAGCAACCACCATGTCCCACGGCCAGGCCCTTGGGACCCTTCAACAACATGAAAGGATGTTATCTCCACAGCAGTTATAACTAACAACTTTTCTTTATCCTTTTATCCTCTCCTCAGGGCTCAGGAAGAGCAGAAGATACTGCCAATGGCCACTGTTATTCAAAACATGCTCTTTGCTATAGACCTAAAGGTCTCTGCAGCCACCAGAAGGACTGCTACCTCCCCTCGTGACACTGAAAGGGATGCCAAGGCACACAGAAAGTGAAATACACTGGTGAAGAAATAATGGTGGTACCTGGGACAGACAGGTACTGTGACACCCTTGTAGCAAGCCTCCACTCCAGTTATGACAGACCACAGAAAATTATTGGTTTCCTGTAATGAAGGCTGTCAGCCAGAACACGACACAGGGTAATGCAAACGTCTGATTTAGTTTGGCAGTAGAATAAGAACATCAAAAATTAGTGTTATTTGAAATAAGGCTTTTTTTTTTTTTTCTTCTTTTTTAGCACCTTTGCTGCCGTGAATAAAACCTCCCATTCTCCCCAAATGAAACATTTTGTATGCAGGCACTTCTTGAAAGAACAAAAGAGGAAGGACAGAGTTCATCGGGCTGCCAGATGAGGGGGAAGTTCCAAAAGTTCACATCTCATCTCTGCTCAACGCAGAGTGGGATCTGAAGCAGATCACCCACCTGCTCTGAAGCAAGTCCCAACTACCAAGATCCCCTGAGCTGTTCCACCTTGTGTTAAACATTTGAATATTAATTGTGCAGGAAGGACTCTCTAGTGCAGTGGTTGGAACACCCACCTGGAGGGTGGGAATGTGGTTCCGGCTTCGCACACAGAGCAGAGAAGCCTCATGGGTTGCAACATGCATGCTTTTGCCTCAGGACACTCTCAAAGCAGAACCAATTGCGGTCCACTTTTGGGGAGGGGGAAGATGTTGGTTCAAACTCCTTTGGGCTGAGGGCTTCTCAGCTCCCTCTAGACTTTTCTAGAGCTAACCACTGGCTACTGGAAAGAAAGCAATGGTCACAACCCCTGCTGGCTGATGTCATGTAGCCTTCTCATCCCATTTTCAAGCAAATTAACTGCGAAAAATAAAAAGAAGCACAAAACAGAGCCCCTTTCTTTCTGAACCTGACCCTGAGCCCTTTGTGGATCTGAGCTGCCAGTAGCTCCAACACAGAAGCTATCGGGTTGCCCCAGGAAGACTGGAAAGCTGCAGCCTCCCTCCAGCCACCAGCCCTCTGTCAGACACCTCCCTGTCCCGGTAGTAGCACAGAGGGAGGGTGTGCTAGCTCCAGGTCACAGGGCCAGCCCATAGCTTAACCCACCCTCAGCTCCAGCTCAAGTTAACGCGCTGGGGACTGGTAATTGAGATGGCAAACGACCAACCATGTCCTAGTTTTTGCCACCCTGTCTATGTAAAACCATCCCCTGCCCACCTGCAGTGGGGAGCTTACCTGCACACTGACCCCAGAGCCTGTACCCTTGTTTGCCCTTCCCTTGCCAGCTGCCTATGGGCAACTCGTTTCAATAGCACTTAGAACTAAGGCACCACTTTGTGCCACCAGAAGATTTCTCCACAGCTGAAGTGATAGAATTTGCTGGAAGACGATCCAAAACCCCCCAGTGCCTCATGTGCATCACTCCAGCTCTGCTGCCCAGCTCTGGGGCAGCCACCAGGAAATCTGAAGGCAAAGGGTGAAGGGAAGGAGGCATGGGAAAGACAATGCCACCCTTGCCTTTTATTGTGGGGAACAGGGCATGTTGAGCCCTGGGTTATATGGAAGCCATCCTCATGTATGACAAATTCAAACTCGAGTCCCACTCCCTCAAAATCACTTTCACATTATCTTGCCAACTCACTTCTTCTGCTTGTCTTGTTAACCCTTAGGTGGGCATCCCCAAAACATAATTTACTATGCTCAGATGCCCAACAGCCATGGAGAAGGAGAGGTGAAGAAATTCAAGAAGGTTCTTCCTTCCCTATCTTGGTATCACTGACTCCACTCTCTTCCCAGTCTAAAAAAAACGCACCCAGCTACAAACAGGTCCTTGTGCTCACCTCATCTGCAGAGGAGCAACTGCCATTCCCAGTCCATTTCCATCAACTTGAGTAAGTGTGTGTGTGGGGGCCCCTAAGGCTCAGTGTAACCCAATGGGTTAGGCTTCTTCATCTCCAACTAAACCCACTATAAGATAGGAAGCCCACAGCTGCCCAAGCTCCCAGCTGAAAGGTAGCTTCTAATGCCAACTCCTGCTTCCAAACTTGGCCCCAACAACGGGCAGAAAGACTCTCCTGAGAAAGGTATCTCCTTTGGGCTTTGAAAATTTAAGACGTGTGTTAGCTGATCATATCAGCTCTGACCCCGCAAAATCTCTTTACCATTTCTTATTTGAGTCTCGCGGATTAGCAAGTTCTCTTCTGCCTTCTCCCTATCAAAAAAAAGAAAGAGGAGTGATATAATACATTACTTTACATAACTGAAATGCAGTTGCTTCTGAGCAGAAGAATAGGGGATACAGCAATCATCCAATGCAGAGCAAAACTATGAAAAAACCTCTCATGCCGAACACATTCAATATATATTTTCAGATACATGTTTATCACAGCTTCAGAAAATTTTATGAAGTGAAGCGTGCAGGGTGGATTTTGGCAAGGACAGTATCGCAATTCTTATGAGAAGCATCCCCAAATCTATACCGACTCAAGTGGACAAGTTTTTTGGCTTCAAGCATTACACAGTGAAAGCGTTCTTTATCAGAAGCATATCCCCTAACGCTACACAGAGGAAATGCATCCAAAGCGAGGTGGTTGGAAGAGTGATACCCACTGTTTCACCAAACTTGGCTTCCAGCTCAGTCAGATTTTTCTTTGGAGAGTGATCAAAGCATCCACCGAGTCTGAGCTTGCTTCACTTCAGAGATGCATTGAAATCATGGCAGCATGACATATACATACTTATTGGGGGAACCCCAGAAGTACATTATATCTCCCTCTGGGAACATATGCATTTTATGTTTGTTGCAGGAACCACCTTTCCATACCTCAGCAAATTTTCCTCCAGTATTTTTTTCCGCTTTGGGGGTCGCCCTCGTCTCTTGCCCGTCTTCCCAGGAACATTTAGGGTGTTTGTCTGCCCCTCGCACCCCCTGTAAAATGGCAAAAACACCATGAAGTGTCTGCTGAGCAAAGGAACTGTGGCTGGCAGGACTGGGAGAAGAGCAGGGAAATCAGAACAGCTGTTAGGAACCCAACCAAAGGAGGGATTAAATCAGAGCAGCAACAGGACGGGGAGGGGAGGAGAGAAGGGATTCCCACTGGCCGGGAGCCTGATCTGGGAGCTGTCGGTGCGGTGCGTGGCAGACAGGGAGGAATGCGGTGGGGCAGGCAGCATCGCTTCCACAGCAGGCTCTCCCGGTGCCACAAAGGCTGCAGGCTGGCTCCGACACAATGCGAGACGTGGGGCAGCTCG